AAAAAGAAGCTTCAACAAATTGAATGAAAATTCAAATTCACAGAAGCAAATTGTTGACAGTTGCTACAATCCTTGGACACATAAATAATGAAAATGGGTTGTGTAAAAATGGAATGATCGAAATTGCTTGGGAGATATTTCACAAATTGCCTCAGAAAGGCCTAATGCCAGACGTTATGACATATACCATCTTAATCAACGGGTTTTGTAAAGAGGGGAAACTACAAAAGGCGTATGATTTGTTATTTGATATGGAAAAAAAGGGTTGTGCTCCAAATGCTGTTACATTCAATACTCTTATGCGAGGCTTTTTGCAAAATAATGACGCAGCTAAAGTGGTTGAACTTCTTCACAAAATGAATGACAGAAATGTGATACCAGATGAATCAACATTGTCTACAGTTGTAGATCTGCTTGTAAAGCATGAAAATTATCGTGAATGTATGGAGTTGCTTCCTCAATTTTCTCTGCAAAAGTCAACAAGAAGCTGAAATGATAAAATATTGGTGCACTTGACTGTAAAAACCATCTTCAATGCTGTGAATGTATAGGATAGTATTTTCTCTTTTTATTTTCCATGTAGCATCCTTTGATCATAACTCTTCACGTATTTAAATCCTTTATATTATTTTTAAGTTTTTTTGTTTGCTTATTTCAATTTGTTGTTGCCCACCTGAATTCTGATTCCTTTAATTATCTTAAACTCTATGCAGTTTTGTACCAGGAACTTAATAAGTGTATTGTGTGAAAACTAATTAACGTTGAATAAGGTAGATTTGGTCACAAATTGATGATGAAAAAGCTGTTTCTCTCTTACATTTTTCACTCTTTTAACTTATGAATACTCTCCAAAAGCACCCTTTTGTTCTTAAAAGCACTTCCCTTGACCTTCAAGTAGAGCTTATGTTGCAGGTGCTTATCAATCTTTTGGAGCTCCCTGTACTTGAAAAGCAATTTCCTAAGCACTTGTTGTTCATTCCTGCAATTGCAAGTTTTCATTTATCATTAAACGTAAGCCTTATGTCACACTCTCCCCTTACCACAGTTGAGAACACTTGCATTTTCTGAAGCTTTAAACGCACCATTTTTTGTTTGTTTTGCAATAGAAAGTACTACAATTTGAAACGCAAAGCTTAGTATAAAATATAATTTAATGTTAAATATATACTATAGTATTAATGTTATTTAATATGGAATACTTAAACTATTGGATATCTATACTTGGGATGCAAGTGAAACTTGTTTTCTTTTCTTGGGGACAAAGTACGGTGATAATTTGATATTGAACAAATAAATATATAACAATAAATTCAGGTTGTATTATCGAATCGATAATGTTATTGACTCAATATAATCTTTGAAATCAAGTTTTTGATAGTGTTTCCCGTAACATTGTAAACAATAAGGTAAGGTTATGTACATTATCGACGTGGAGCTGAGTTGGAATGGAACCAAAATATGTTTATTTTTGCACTTAAAAAGATGCCTAAATAATTACCAATGATTTTTAACTGAAAACTAATTATTATCGGGTCAGGTCAATTATGGGATTATCCATGACCCGGCTCAAATTATCATCTCTACTTTCGGCCCATTATGGCCCAAATAAGATGTGTGAAAATGCTGAGTAGACAGATTAGAAACAAACTGATGATTTATATTTAGATAAAAATCAGATTTGAAAAAGACAGAAATGCCCCCGCTAATCTCTACCCTATTCCATTAAAAAAATATAACAGATCATTTGCTCAACTCCAGTCTTACCATTTTCAAAACTCAGACGAAGATGGCTGATCAGAGCGAGAAACCAGAGGTCTTTGAACTTAACAATGGATCCATGCATGTCAAAATCTCCAATTTTGGCGCCACAATCTTGTCGCTCTCTTTGCCTGACAAACAGGGTATTTATTTATTTATTTAAATTTACTACTCAGTCACTTTATTTTTGCTGATGGATGATATTTTTTTTCTTTTTGTAATTTTTTGAAGGAAATTTGGCTGATGTTGTTCTTGGATTCGATTCTATTGAACCATATGTGGTAAATTTTCTATCTTTTCTCAACCCCATTTGATTTTTTGTCATCTTTTTATGATCGGATGACTAATTCTGGGTACATTGATTAGATTGTGTAAACCCTTTGACTATTTTTTTTCCTAATGCGATTTTTCCATCCAAGGGTGTGTTTTTAACTATGCAGAAGTGTTGGGAGGTCAATGAAATTTGGAGATTTGTTCATGTTGGTAATTGTGAGGATAAAAGATATCGTATATATGCACTTTGTTTTTTTTAAATGAATAAGCTATTCTGGTTCTTGAGAGTTTATGAATCTACATATATATATATATATATGGGGAATTCAAGTTATTGTTTCTTCTGCATTCTGCCTATGATGAATTATGGTGTTATCAGAATGGTGCAGCACCTTTTTTTGGGTGCATAGTGGGTCGGGTTGCAAATCGAATCAAAGAGGGCAAATTTACTCTCGATGGGACGGAGTACACTTTGCCAATCAACAAGCCGCCGAACAGTCTCCATGGTATGAATTTGCTAGAGTCGTAGTGTTAGATTTTTCATTTTCTTATTTGATTGTGTGAAAATCTTGTGTTGTTTTAGGTCAGTATTAAAACTTTTGTAGTCCAGCAAAAGCTTTTCTTCTGTTTTCTGGCAGGTGGGAACTTTACCAGCACTTTTCCATATTGCTTTGTGGCATTAATATAGTAGCCACAGCACTTAGAGAAAATATAAACTGCAGAATATTGCATCTGTAACTCTACAAACCAGGCTACTAAAAGTTTGCTTTCCAACGAAGTGAAGAATTATCCTTATTATCAACTTGAAGAAGATACCCCATTCTTTTATCAACTTTATCAATATCAAGTTGTTGTTAAATTAATAAGTATACGCTCCTTGTCTGATCTAAGACACACAGACACTTATCCAACTGAAAAATGCCATTGCAAATCAATCGTTGGGAACTTATCTTAGAAGAACATAATAGTAGTGGCTTCTGAGGACTGGGCAGAATGTATTTTAATTTTTGCAAATTTATTTCCCTGATAAATTCTTCTGTCTTTTCTTTTCTTTAGGCGGTTTCAAGGGTTATGATAAAGTGATATGGAAGGTAGCAGAACAAAAGAATGGTGAAAACCCATCTATTACTTTTAAGTATCATAGTGACGATGGGGAAGAAGGTTCATTCTCTCTCTCTCTCTCTCTCTCTGGTTCTCCCTGTTCCCCTCTTCTCTCATTTTTCCATCTCTAATTCTTCTGTTTTGCCTGGTAATAGGTTACCCAGGAGATGTGTCTGTGACTGCAACTTACACACTTACTTCAAAAACAACGTTGAGACTTGACATGGAAGCAGTTCCGGAGAATAAGCCAACTCCAATCAGCTTAGCTCAACACACCTACTGGAACTTAGCAGGCCACAACTCTGGGAACGTACTTGAGCACTCAATTCAGATTTGGGGGCAGCACATTACTCCCGTAGATGAGAACACTGTCCCAACTGGTGAAATTAAGCCAGTCAAAGGAACCCCTTTTGATTTCACCTCTGAGAAGAAGATCGGTGTATCAATCCATGAAGTGGGTTTAGGGTATGACCACAACTATGTGCTTGATTGTGGGGAAGAGAAATCAGGGTTGAAGCATGCTGTAAAACTGAAGGACCCGGCATCCTCAAGGGTCCTTAACCTGTGGACCAATGCCCCTGGGATGCAGTTTTACACCGGGAACTATGTCGATGGAGTCGTCGGAAAAGGAGGTGCAGTTTATGGAAAGCATGCTGGTGTCTGCTTAGAGACGCAGGGATTTCCTAATGCCATAAACCAATATAACTTCCCATCTGTTGTGGTTCGACCAGGCGAGACATACAAACATTCAATGTTGTATGAGTTTTCGGTTGAGTGAAGTAGTATTCTCTTGAAGTGTCGATTTTGAAATAAAGGTCTGTTTTGGGTTTGCCAACGGTGAATAAGAGATTATTTTCAATGATCAAAACTTAAAATATCTAGTACACTGACATTTATGTGCATAAATAAACTTGGTGGACTTGGTAGAGATGGGTTGCCTATTATCAAAAATTAAAATTCCCAAGGGCCTAAGGGGTGTTTATTTTGAAAGTGTGACACGAGCTCTTTAGACTTCTGCAAAATTCTGATTCATTTCCAATATTTCTGATTGAAAAAGGGAAATGAAAAGCCTCTAGTTGACCTGGTTTGTAATAATTTGTTTTAATCACATCAAAATAAGGTCAATTTTAGTGCACACAACCAATTTCAAGTAGGAAGATTATCCTTAAAGGTCCTCTAGTTGACCTGGTTTGTAATAATTTGTTTGAATCACATCAAAATAAGGTCAATTTTAGTGCACGCAACCAATTTCAAGTAGGAAGATTATCCTTGAAGGTTTTTTATGATAATTTTTGCTTTTTTTTTTTTTTTTTTTTTCTTTTATTGTAGATTATCCTCAAATTTTGAAATTGTATCATGGATCTCTCTTTCGTTTATCAAATGTTATTAGATGGATCTTCAAAGTTCAAAAATTTGATCACAAATATCTTTTTGTCCTAACCCTATCACGCTGTTGATTTGTAAAATATTTTCTTATAAAACAAATTAGAGATGACCAAAGTTATCATTTAACTCATCTACTGTAAACTACAATATAGTATCAAACTTCAAAGATAGTTTATGATAAAAAGTATAAAAGTTGTTATCCAAATGATGAATTTGAAAAACTTAAAGGTAGTGTATGATAATCTCTCATTTCAAAGATCTTTTTTTCAGCAGTAGATGATTGTAATTAACAATGCAATATATAAAATCAAGTTCTTACAAACAAATTCTATATTTTATCAAACTAAAAAATACCAAAACCTATTACGTTCTTTTCTTGACATTCAGGATTCTAATACATTCAATTTTTGTATCGACTTACATGACGTTCCCATTTGTAATTTGGGAATTACATGCACATTGAAGTTTCAACACTCTTTCAGCTTACACACAAACTGCAATTCTGGACTCGAATTTCCAGAACAATGCACAACAGAAATGGATTTGCATCGTGCCCTTATGCCTGTTTAGGATGGTAGTTTTAATAAGTTTTATGAATAGATAGCTTTGACCTTGCTTAGCACACATCGTCTCACTTTGCTCGGACAAGTTCAAGCGGTAGAGTCTCCATGGCCAGCTGAAATTTGTGAAGTTTCAGTAGCTATAAGTAGTTTCCATCTATCGTAAATACTTTAAAGAATGCTTACCCAGAGTCTTGGAGTTGTAGGATCAGACTTTGTATGTAATTTGGCGAGCTCAGACTGAAAGGTGATAACTATGCAAATTTTGAACTCGATCGAAAATGGACTACAAATAACATTTACAAAGAAAACACCAACTCAAACCATTACAAATGTGGAGTTTGAATAATACCATTACTATGAGGAAATAAAAATTCTGATGATGATAACATGCAGAAGGTTAACATTTCACTAGCAGCCAATAGTAATAGAAACTATATAAAAGGCTTAGCAGAAAGAGTAACGTTAAACAGGAAAATAAAACCTAATCGCTAGCTTGACCTGAAAAACAGACATCTAATTAGCTATTGCTGCAGAACATCACATAAGTACTTCAAATTGAATGATGCTTTGTTGGTTTTCAGCTAAGTAGAAAATAGTAAGAAAGAATTCATCAAGTAGACAACACCAAATTAACTAAGGGTTTTCATTCATTCAGTAAATAAACACCAAATTATTTATGAAAACAAACAAGCATATAGAGGAAATATCTATGTCAAACTGTAACTTAACTAAAATAGTTGAACAAGTTGAAATATAGAGGATAAGAGAAAAAAAAAGGAGAGCCATATTATGTATTTCAGCTATCATTACAACATATAAGAATAATATCAAAGGATAAGTCCATGCTAAACTAGCAACTCACCCAGCAAAAACAGTTGGACAAGTCAGAAGACGGGGGAGTATCACATAGATAGGCAGAGTCATTTTACGACAAACATCTCCATCTGCTATCTAGTATACAATACAAAAACAAGGATGTCAAATAAACATTACATGAGTTAAAAAATTTCTGAAAAGACGTGGAATGTGGCAAACCTGTGTTGTCTGTATCAAGGATGTTTCAGTTACAATTTTTTCCCCTAGAAGAATTGACTCTACTTGGAGCAAGTGCAAGTCAATAGATTGAATAGGAACTGAAGATGCTTCTACGGTTAGCTCTCCATTGATAGGATCCACTAAAGAACATTGAGTTGACACTTTTCCTGTCACCTTAAAGCCACCTTTTTAACCATACATCTTGTCAGTTCCAGAATCATGTCATTATCATACAAACCCAATTCTAAAATTTCAGAAGACCGCATCAATAAGACATCAAAATGCATTGCAGCTGGAATTCCATATGATGCAATCTCCAATAAAAGTTGTAGAGAACATACATTCCAATTTATGATTAGAAAGGTTACTTCAAAGATTTAAATTAAAATCAAAAGTCACCAGACAGTGTATGTGCAGAAGATGGGATCAGAAGCAGACCTGTTTTTAGTTCAGGGAGTAACGGATGTTTCTGAGTATCCTGAGTAATGTAAAAGACAACCATCTCAGGAGAAATCGGTCTCTGAAGAATATCAGCTGAAAGCATAACAACAGGAAGGACAAAGCCCATATTGTTGAATTATATAAAAGATTTCTCAAAATCTTTTTAAAAAGTAAATATAAGTCCATACCTTTATCAGTTTCAACAATGAATTCCAGCGTTGCAGATAACGATTTATGTAGGTATCCCCGCATTACGTCTACAGTTATCAAATACTAACATAGGATTCATTAATCGTCAATGTTTGGTAAAACATTTATAGGGCATGAGATGGGAAAAAGTGAGGATTCCCCCGCAACTGTCTCATTGCAAGGGTCCAAAGTGAAGTTTTTCACCTGTGTGACATGAAATAACCTCACCTGGATGCTAATATTCCTTCCATGGAAGGTCTCATAGAACCTCTCTAAATTTTCTTCTCCACGCTGCCTCAGATTTATGGAAAATGGTATCTGCAAAATAAGCAAAATGTGTACACTGTAAAGGAAGGAATAGTTATTTTGCAAATACTTAAGGGAAACTAGAGGTGAGGAAAAAAACTGTTCTGATACCTTGCAAAAGGAGGTTAAAGTCTATTGAAGTATAATAACAACTATTAAGAATAGACATGGACTGAAAACAGAGGGAACAAGACTTAATTCTCATCCCAACAGAGAATTAACAGAGAGAACTGTCTAATTTAAGAAAACAATTAGAAATGGAAAAAGCTAATTTGAAAAGACTAGGAAAATGAAGAGGTTTTTCACACAACAGAGGACATACACAACTGCACAGAGAAAGCTAAAATGCTTATTAACAGTTCTGAAATATTAGAGATTTCATCTAAGTTTAATAAACTAGCATCAGCTACAATTATAAGATTGTATAAACATCACTACAATTAGATTATTCTCAGTATGAATAAAACATCTGTACTTCTACAATTAGGAAATTTCTAATAGAAATTCTACCTCTGTTGTGCCTGGACCAATCTTCCCAGAAGTTCTGATCTCAATGTTCTTCTTCCTGTTTCCAAGTCACGAAAATATAAAACAACAGAAAGATGAAATAGCTTTAAAGAATTTAAGAAGAATAAAAATAAAAGTTATCCTACACAAACACAAAGCCAATAGTAAACTTGGACAAGAATGATTATGACTGTAACACTCCAATTTTGTACTAACCAAACTTAGTAACAGTCAATAACCTGATGTTATAAGATATACACTATAAATCAGCCCACAGTCCAGCCACATAGAAAGGTACAGAATATGGAGCAAGTTTGCTCCAGTTCAATCATTATTACACATTTTTACTACCCAAAAGTACTCCAGCTTAGACAGGAAAGTTTCAGTTCTGTTCAAGTTTGACCAGCAACATACAAAAAGAAAAATAAAAGAGTGAAGCCACATCAATCAACACCAAATTTCCTAGATTAGAGCTTGCTTTAATGCTAATCCTACTCAGGATCAGAGTCTATTCCTACATCTCTAAGAGACCAAAGATAACCAACTCCAAATCCAAAAGTTTCAGTAGTCTCAAGCTTCCTTTCTCTCAAAAATATAATAGATACAGGACCATTGAGAAGTCCTTAAGTTTATCCAAGATCATAGGCCTGGTGAGTCTGATGGTTGTAAGAAATTACTGAATTAAAATGTTAAAAAGAAGCTTCAACAAATTGAATGAAAATTCAAATTCACAGAAGCAAATTGTTGACAGTTGCTACAATCCTTGGACACATAAATAATGAAAATTCAGAGTTTTCCAGTTGAAAGACCTCAGAAACCATGGTTAATAACAAAAGGGTGATCTGTAGTGAAACCATGATGCTGAAATCAACGATGACAGTCCTCGGAAACAACGCCTCATAAGCACACGTAACACACACGAAATGTAACTACTAGAACGTTAAAAAGGTTTGTGACAATTCGGCAATTTGCTACGCCTGATTAATTATGTGTCTTTGGTTTTCTTAAGGCTCTGGAAGCATGAAATTACCACTTCTAACTAGTTGGTTAGTTTCAGCGATGTAATCAAATCATAACATATACTGGAATTTTACAAGTGCTACTGGCAAACCATGAATGAAGCACAATTCAACAATAAAAAAAGAAACTTTGAACTTACACAATTGGAATAGGCTTCACAACACCATAGAAAGACTCGATGACACCAGCTGATCCTCCACGAACCTTCAAAAAACAACAGTGAATATCAAAATTAGCTTAGGCTCGGTTCCGTTTGGTTTCCGAGAAAATTAAACAGTGCAATTTTGAATACTCAAAGAAACGTAGCTGAAACTTTTCTAAAATGAAAGAAAGCCTACCTGCAAGTTGACCGATCCATTGAGGGTGAGGACAATCCCATAGTGAGAAATGGAGGAAGATGACCTTATTAAGATTTTGCCCTCCAGAAAATCCTGATATCGTATTACAGCAGCAGCATTATATAACTAAGCTTAAAAACTATAAATAAATTATTTTTTTTTTTAAAAAAAAAAAAAAAAAAAGAAGCGGAGATATAGAGAGAGGAAGAGCGCGTACAGATGGTTGATATATACGATTGAATCGGGAGAGCTTCAGCTCTATGCTGGGCATTTTCAACTGCGGAAGAAGATGAACTTTTTCAAATTCAGTTCTATATGGATTGAATTCTGACAATTTAGCCCTCTTTTAATTTTAGTAAAATCACCTTACAGTACAGATGGGGTTTTAAATCCTAACCACTCCCACTATTGTTTAAAAGATACAATAAGACCCCTGGAAACTTGTAACGAAAAGTCGAAAAGTAAACCAGGGGGTGTCTTTGAGATCTAAACAAACCTTGGAGGATTAAAAAATTTAAGTGACATTAACACGTGGCAAAATATAACTGGTCAGATGACAAAACTTTACGTGGCATTGAAATACCAAATCTACCCCTACCTGAACCTTCTTCTTCCCCAAAAATCCCCGATTTCAGCGGCACCCATCTTCTTCCTCCTTTTTCTTCTTCCACTTGAGCAGCCCTCCCCAAAAAAAAAAAAGGAAAAAATGCGACTCATCTCAAGAAAACTAATCTTTACTCTTCTGATTCTCACTCTGTATCCTCTTTCCCTCTACGCGCGGCCCTTCATTCTCGTCCTTTCACAGGACGACATCAAGGACACGCCGCCGTCTCCTCAGGATGACGACTCGGCCGACTGGGACGACTTCGGCGACTCTGAGACGGAGCCCGAGGAGAATCTCGATCCGGGTTCCTGGAACCCCATCTTCGAGCCTTCGATGGACCCGGACGCGCTGAATCGGAGCTACTATTCCACCGTCGCAAAGATGATGTCGGCTGTCAGTGACGGCGACGAGCGGAAGATGCGGGAGGCCACGGCCGAGATTGAAGCGGCGGCTGATGAAGGTGAACCACACGCTCGGTCGGTCTTGGCGTTTTTGTACGGAATGGGAATGATGCGAGAGCGGAACAAGGCCAAGGCTTTTATGTATCATCATTTTGCTGCTGAAGGTGGTAACATTCAATCGAAGATGGCTTTAGCATACACGTATTTGCGTCAAGATGTGAGGGGAATTCTTTGTGCCGTTCGAGTTTTTTTTTTTTTTTTCTTATGTTTTTTAAGCTTGTTCAAGCTCTAGAATTGAAATCAGAAAGAATTTGGATTGATTTTTTTGTGATGAACGATCTTTGTTTTGATAATTTTTCTTTGTGGTCGCAGATGCATGAGAATGCGGTTAAATTATATGCTGAATTAGCTGAGATAGCAGTGAATAGTTTTTTGATTTCAAAGGATTCACCGGTGATTGAACCAGTTAGGATTCATAATGGAGCTGAAGAGAATAAGGGGGCATTAAGGAAGTCTCGAGGGGAGGACGACGAGGCCTTTCAGATTTTAGAGTATCAGGCGCAGAAAGGGAATGTCGGGGCAATGTACAAAGTTGGGTTGTTTTATTACTTTGGATTGAGAGGATTGAGGCGTGATCGTGCCAAGGCATTGGCATGGTTTTCGAAGGCTGCGGATAGGGGTGAACCCCAGTCCATGGAATTTCTTGGAGAGATATATGCAAGAGGAGCTGGTGTTGAAAGGAACTACACTAAGGCACTTGAATGGCTGACACTTGCTTCTAGACAGAAGCTTTATTCGGCGTATAATGGAATGGGGTATTTGTATGTCAAGGGCTATGGAGTGGAAAAGAAGAACTACACCAAAGTATGTTCATTTGCTTCTGTAGTGATTTTTGTACATTTTGAGTTTTCTAGTGCATTTCTTTAGTGTCTGAGATAATTACTCTTGGGTTGGCTTCATATAAAATTGAATTTAGGAGTAACTAACCAAAAGAGATTTAATCCTACTAATAGCATCAGCAAATTTTTTTTCACTATTCTTGCTTGAATGTTAGTATCCTTTTTGCTCTCATCTATATTGATTAAGTTCTTTAAATTCTGTTAAGAGTTATTTGAAGAGTTTAGAATGAAAACCAATTCTTTGTACTACAGGCAAAAGAGTGCTTTGAGAAGGCAGCTGATAATGATGAGGCTAGCGGGCATTATAACCTTGGAGTAATGTACCTTAAAGGGGTTGGTGTAAAGAGAGATGTGAAGTTAGCATGCAAATACTTTTTTGTGGCTGCCAATGCAGCTCACCAGAAGGCATTTTACCAGTTGGCAAAAATGTTCCACACAGGCGTGGGGCTTAAGCAGAATCTACAAACGGTAAATTTAGTGCTATTGTGCATAATTTTATTTTGTTTCTAGATGAACTTTGTCTTCATACTTAAAGCATTTCTTGTTTTTGTGCCTTTTCTTTTAACTGTACCATATACAGTTTTCTCTTACTTTGAAACACTTGGGTTGGTGGCCTGCCCTAATAGCTTTTTGCAGTTGCTTGGGTCACTGACTTAGTTTAATGATAATTTGAGTCTCTTTCTCTCTCTTTGCATGGCTTCTTTGTGAGCATTACTTTTATATGGAGATAGGTTCTAAACTGTTAGACCTATTTTATTATGAAGTGCATGTACATCAGTATACCAACACATCTGAGCTTCACTTTTTAACAGGCTACTGCATTGTACAAACTAGTTGCGGAACGAGGACCATGGAATTCCTTGTCTAGATGGGCACTTGAATCATACTTGAAAGGTGATGTGGGTAAGGCATACTTCCTGTATGCAAGGATGGCTGAGCTAGGCTATGAGGTAGCACAAAGTAATGCTGCCTGGATCCTTGACAAATACGGAGAACGAAGCATGTGCATGGGAGAATCGGGCTTATGTACTGATGTGGAAAGACATCAATGTGCTCACTCTTTGTGGTGGCAAGCTTCTGAACAGGGTAATGAACATGCAGCTTTGCTGATTGGGGATGCATATTACTATGGTCGGGTAAGTGTCTAAACATAAATGACATGCTCTAGGTTCAGAGTTTTATATTCTTGCATCTGGTGCTTCCATAACTCTAATTTTGCCGTCATTTTCTAGGGAACTGAGAGGGATTATGAGCGTGCAGCAGAGGCTTACAAGCATGCCAACTCCCAAGCCAATGCACAGGCCATGTTCAATCTTGGATACATGCATGAGCATGGGCTGGGACTTCCACTCGATCTTCATCTTGCCAAACGTTACTATGATCAGGCCCTAGAGAATGATCCCGCTGCAAAGTTACCTGTTACACTTGCCCTCACAAGTTTGTGGATACGAAATAACTATGCTGACAGTTTCATGGTGATTCTCTTAGTCTCGTCTATTTGCTTGCTTTTTCCGAAATAGTAAAAAAGTTACACTAAAGCACACTTTCAGGTTATGCTCAGTTTAATTTGCTTGATAAGATCGGCTCTGGCCCAAGGCCATTAGTATTATGTGGTTCAACACATAAACTGCTTAGATTTAAATCTTGAAAAGTTTAATGGTTATTCTGTCTTCATAGATTTTGGAAAGGGAAAAAAGTTTGATATCTTACCAATATTAGATATCTGAGTGGATAAGATAGCAAAAGGGTTCTCCTTGCCTTCTATATGAGTAAATAGCAGATAAACCAAAGTCGTGTTACTGTTTATGATTTGCTTGTACTCCTACAGATTTTGAAATTCATTGAGTTCAATTTTGCTCTTATTAGTTTCATTTTCTGATGAACAGAATGTGCAGGTTTTCTTTTTTTTTTTTTTTTTTTTTTGCTTCTTTAAATTTTTTTTTTTCCTCAGAAGCTTCTTATTGATAAAAATAGTAAAAGATTCAGCCATATTTCATTTATCCTCGGGTCTCTTAACTGATATGCTATGTCTTAATTAGGTTCACATAATCGATTCATTGCCTGAAGTCTATCCAAAAGTGGAGGCATGGGTGGATAACGTCATCTTGGAAGAAGGAAATGCAACAATACTAACTCTCTTTCTCTGCCTTCTTACCGTCCTATATCTTCGTGATCGGCACCGTAGGAATGCAGTTCAGGCTGCTGGTGAGGTAGTATTGCCAAACCAGCACCATGAGCATGCGCCTCGGGCAATCCATTAATCGACAACAGAGGTAGTTTTGGGCCTTCCCAACCATGGAAACTTTCACATGATGTACAGAATGAAGGTTTTCTGTAGCTTTTAGGTAAAAAGAGCTTCTTACAGTGTACCATAGATAAGAAAACTTAAGCAAGGAGGAATAAGAAGTCTTCTTTTGGCAGGCGAAATCTGAAAGATAAACAATATTTTAACATAGATTTTGTTATAGGGGAATTTGTGTTGTAAAAGATACAACTTCTTGTGATTACTGATTAGTTGTTATTGTTTTCAATTATTTTATACCAAAAGCAATTTTTTGGCCTTTAGAATGATTGTATGCTAGATCAGGTCATAGCAGTTATTCTGCTGATTCTTTACGCTGATAAATTCATTTTTTTTATTTTTTTTTTTTTCAGCTCGAGGAACATTTAAGGATGAACATATTCTCATAAAAGATATATATATATAATTAAAAAAAAGACATAGAAGGCAAACATTTAACCATTAAGGCATTAACAAAATAAACCCTAAAGAAACTTGCCCCTGCAATTTCTTTATACAGAAAGTTACAACGATTCTTTTCAATGGCAATGTAAGTAATATATATACACAAACGCTACCATGATTTGTACAGATTGATTGGTTGTGCGTTGCTACATTATAAAGCAGCCTAGGTTCGACGAAAGTTAAAATTTATAACATTCACTCTTACGACAAAAAATGCACTTGTCATGAAAGCAGTTTTAACACTGACACTGATGATGATATGATCAAACCTTAATCCACGATTTTGGTCATAAAGATTCTGTAGTTTCTGCTTCCCCATTTGTCATTTTTGTCGATGTAATAAGACATCAGACAACACTGTACCCATGGCGGATTTCTGGGAGCGCTGTTATCTACCATGCCATCATCAGTTACTACCACTCCAAGCAGTTTGTTCAGCTTTCTTTGCACTATATCGATGGAGGGATAACCGTCAAATAATTTCTCCTGTTATGGATTAAATATTATAAAATTAAGAGACGCCTATTGAAATTGAGAAAAAAAAAAATTTGGAAACGCAGAACAAGACACTGAAATATGCAGTTTCAAAGCAAAGATTGTAAGGACTTCAGTTAATAGATGTCATTCGAAAAGGTAGGTTGGAAAAGAACTTGTAAGAGGAACCCGTGAGTGGCTCTGAGAAATGCCCGAAATGAGTATAAAGGAAAATTTATGAATGTATATGAAGTTAGGAGGTAAAGATGAGCTCACCCCATCTTCGGCATAAACAAAAGCTTGGATTCGTGCAGTTGGATCCTCTAGGGTGAGCCTCAACCCATAACTCCCACGATTACAGCGAAGATCCTCAGCTCGATAGGGAAATGCAGCAACAACTCGAACCATGCACCTGTATTTAGCGGTCACCTGTCGTCATGCATTAAGTGCCATTAGGCTGTATGTAGCCCTAAATCACTTCACGAAAGCAAAATGTTTTTCCATTTCAACAGGCTACAGCATGTATGTGCCAACAGAAATCCATGCCAATGAAATGATCTAGAAAGGCTTAAATCTCTTATCAATAAAACTTGCTGCCTCCTTACAAAAAGATTTCTGCTTCTGTTTGGGAAAGAGATTTTCTGTTAAATGGAACATTTCTCGACACAAACTTTGTCTACATACCTCTTCCTTTCTACCTTCTACACTATCTGTCTTTCACCTATCAGGAAATGACTTCTGTGCCCTTTTGCAAGTCATTTCCCACTGCCCATTATAAGGGGCTCCTTGAGCTGTTCCAAACTTTGCTAAGGAACTCAAACTCCTCATCCTTAAACTTCCCAAAGATTTGAATACTCTAAATCCAAAATAGTGGGAAATGAAAAACGCCAAATGTGAGGTGGTAATATACCATACACACACCCTTGTTCTGCAAAAGATTTTAAAGCTTTAACTTCTAGAGCTGCATTAATATGCATCAAATGTTTCCATGACAGCAAACAATTTAGATGAAGGTTTACTGACAGTGAAGAACTAGCAAGGTGAGCTAAGTGAGCTAAAATGAGAGCTAATTTTGAAACCAATATACAGAAAAACATAACATAGAGTCAGTGGAAAACAAGTCAATTGACAGCCAAGGACCAAGGAGATAGTTTAAGAAAGACGAGAATTAGTATACAGCATAATCATGTTTGTCTTCAAATTTTGACCGTCAAAGAACCTGTCTTCCATAGCAAAGTTCAAAATAACAAAGAAAAAGAAAACACCTCCTTTTACATCTATCATGGATATAAGTAGAAAGATAAAGAAAATTATTTCTGAAATATTAAGAGGGAAAAAAAAACTTTATACAAGATATGATACCTCTGAATGCGTGAGAACATCCATCAATGTAACAAATGGCACACGTTTATTACAGTCAAGCTCTGATAAAACAAAGAAAGACATAGTTAAACATCATCATGATAACAGAGGTTTTGGGTATAGAGATTAGTTTCCAGGAGACTGAATCAGCCAAACAACCAAGAAGTTCAAAATTCAAATAGACAGAGAATGTAATCATTAATAAAACAAAAATCTGAAACCTGTAACTCCTGAAGTCCAAGGAAAGCACCAGTATGGCAACCGGGGATATGTCATTGACATTCGCTTACCAAAAGACCTGAGTAATATAAACATGATACCAAATATAAAACAATAATTATTATATCAAACTTATACATGTCAGTAATAAGGACATTTGTGAAACAAATAGTCAAGTACAATAAACCTTTGTCGCTCCAATATGAGACAGTCCTCATCTGGCAAATAACTTAGCCTTGTGAAGTGTGTCAACACACCACACCATAACCCTGCATTCACTTTGCAATGCACGTTTAACATTTTTACCCATTTAAAGGTGTTTAGCAAGTGAAGGATATGCTTTTCAATGTCTTTGTCTATGATCAATCTCAAGATACTTCCAACGGCGGGAAATGAACACAATATATCTTTTGATAAAGGAAAGGGCTCCAATTGTAATGGAAGCTCGTGCTCCATTTCATCTTCTAGCCTAAGGTTCATAGTTAACAACATAAAACAAGCTTTCAGAAAATATTCAAAATTTAATACCAAAGATACAAATTAATTATAAAGCAACCACCATTCTAACTGACATTTGTAGTCAAGAAAGTAGCTTTTGAAAGAGTTCGTTGATGAATTAACTTATTTTGTAAGAAGACCCAAAAAAAATCTACTAAGAACGAGGATGGATGTATCATTTTCACAATTAAGATAACTATTCACCAAAATGTTGAAAAGAAAAGATTAGATAATAGTTATGCTACATATTTATGTAGTGCAAGTCAAATCACAATGGGATTTCACGTATTTTCAGGAGTGGATAAAAAAGAGAAAAATGTAAACATTGCGAACCTAATTTTAGGTTTTCTTAACAGAGCAATAAGTTGAAGTCATTTTTATAAGTTCAGGATTAATAACCCTAGAAACCAAAAATTAGGATTGTAAGAAAAGTGAAAATTTGGAAAATTAAATTATTATAAGAATAGTCACTCCTCTTCCCAATCCCTCTCTTTCTGAAACCCAACTTGGGTTCGATCTATCTATTCCTCGTATTGCCCATTTTCCCTCCCCTAAATCCCCTCCTTACCTCATATTCTCCTTTTAATTTCTTTCAATAAGCCCTAAACTTTAAGTTTATAAAACAAATTCTAATAGCAACTATTGTAATTGAGTATGTGAGTTTTACGCATGCACAATTCATATACATTAAAAATATGGTAAATAAGTGACTATTAAAACTGGAAAAATAACTTATATCAACTCACTTTGAATGAATACAGACAGGCCAAGTATCAGTTCCATCCCAAACAAAGGCCATCCACTCACTCTTCGCAACTTCACAAACATGAAGTATCTTAATGTGGCAAAAAGAAATTGGAACAAAACTGATCAGTAGTTTGCATTAAACAAAAATGAAATATAACAGACTTAGCACGAAACTTTTCCAATCAAATAAATCAGATTAAATTCTTGACAACTGATTAACTGGATATAAGGATAAAAAAATATGATTGAACCACCTTGCAAACCAAATTACTGCTCTGACCTTCCTTGATTTCTTTTAACAACGTGAAGTTTAAAAAATCTATCAAGCACAAAAAGTTTGAAACATGTTATCAGAATATGAAGCATGATCTGAAACTTAGCAGCAGGGCACTATGACAAGAAAACAAGGGCATTAGAAAATAAGTATCAGACATCAATAATGCAAGTACTAATTCTAGTTAATATTATAAATACCATAGCCATTGGTAGTTGCGGTATAGATACACATGGGCATTATATGTCAATAATGCATGTACCAATTCTTTTATTTTTTGAAGCACAATTAACTACATGGAAAACGTTATTTTTCCAGAATTTCATTGAAAAGGCATCCAGGACACAGTACTGAATTCCTCAACTAAAATCACAAATAATTCTCTTATTTAAATCAACTGATAGCTTTAATTTCGTTAGCATCTTCATATTATAGCATTTAACATATAGCTTGCTGGTGGAAATATCAATATGATTAAAAATGAAATCATTGTCCATTAATACATATTGTCGTGCGAACCTTCCTTAAGTTGAAAACTGTGAAACCATTTTCTCAAGCCTGCTATAAGCTTCTTGTCGAACTCTCTTGGGTGAAATCTTACGGAAACTTGGTAAGGAAGGATGTCTTCACCATCCTTCCTTTCATACAAAGCAAAGGAAGAAAACTTCTTGTAGAACAAAGCATATGCTTGGCCGTCATCAGTTTTCATCTGCAGAATTATATCTGCCCACTTAAAGCATTCTAGCCAAAATTTATTTTTCCAAGAAAAATACACAAAAAAAAAAAAAGATTGCTATATGGATTGACAGTGACCATACAAACCAATATGATATTTAATCTAATGCGCAATATACTGCAAAATGCATGTTGAAATTAATCAGTAATGTTCACAATAATAATATTAACAATACCCATAGAACAACAGAATCTGCCTATGTCATAACCAACAAAGTCCTTAAAGCTTCATTGCCTAAAATTATCCACTTTTTGTCTTCAATGTAGCATATAGCTAACATTTAACATCAATTTTAATCTCAAATTTGGGAATATTCTTCACTAATCGTCTTCCCCTGACAGTTTTATGGTTGGTATAAATAGCAATTTAAAGTAAGTTTAAGGTTTTCGCTCTTTCCTATTGCTTTATTGCCTTTTCCCCTTCTCTTTGTTCATCTTTCACCAACAAATGCTCTAAGAATTTCATCAAAGTATTGATTGTTCCCAACATGAAAATGAAATAGGATCTGATGAAACTCACAACATGTGGAGAACATGTTCCAAAATGTATCTCAATACTAACATTAAAAGAAGCAAAGCCTAGAAAAGCGCTGGGAAAGTTATATTCCAATAGAAAGTAAGTCAGTATCAGATCATACCATGACATTAGAAAGCAGAATAATGTCCCCAATAGAAGCAATACGAGGTAGCTTTTCCACAGTGTCAGTGGAAAAATTAACTGGAATCCCAGCTTCATTATATGATTCATCAATTATTGTTAGTGCATAAAAGCTATCTGCAAATAATACATATATACTTGGTGAAAAACTAAGATGACACAAATCCAAGGTTCCAAACTCAGCAGTAGAGCAACCAGTGCTTAGTTAAAGCATATATAATAAGTTTGTTCGGTAAGACTAGTCCAAGTACAGTTTTGCAGAAGGCATTTTTATTAATAAAAGTTTTTACGAGTAGAACTGTTCGCAAAAGTTGTTGGTCTCAGCAATCAAATCATAGAAAAGAATGTTTTGGGCATTGTATAATTCTCTTTACAATTTGATACATTCACTTCTCATAAAAGCCCAAAATTGACCCATCTAAACTACCAGCAAGTAAAATTTGGAACAAAAAAGACAAAACCTCTTTTGACCATTTCAGAAATCGACTCAAACATAAGATACTACATCGCGATGTACATATGTCCTTATCAACAAATATCTATATTTTTTTTGCACAAATAATAATTGTTTTCAAGAAGAAACAGATCTTACACATCAATTGTTGTGATATTTAAAGCTTTTAAATCTTTTTTTTCCCCGTAACACAATGAAATCATCAAAACTCAACAAACTCAAGAGAAGCCAGCATCAACCAAGCAAGAATACTAACCCAATATCACTTAGGGGCGTTTGGTTGACGGTAATGTAAGATTATTGGGATAATGTCATCTTATATTATTTGATTACCACGTTTGGTTGTCAAATAATATAAGATTCCGGTAATCTTCAAATATCAATAGTAGTTACTATTAGTAATATTGAAGGTAATCTGATTATCTCCGTTTTCTTAGGTATTCTAAGATTATCAGGGTTATCTTTTTTTGTTATAATTTTATCTTTTATTAATAAAAATTTTAGACAATAATGCCCTCATTTTAAAATAAATTTACATTAATATCCTATTTTAATTTTACCCTTATTTAACTAAAATTTTGGACAATAATATCCTTATATTTAAAACAATTTACAGACCACCACTGCCACTTAGCCACCACCACCACTGTCACCCAACGACCACCGTCGACAGTGGCCAACCACTACGGATCGTCGTCGATAAGTCATCAGAGTCCCTAAAAAAGAATGAGATTCGGTGGGAGGCTCCAGGAGGCTTCGATATGGCCGTTTCTAGCCATATTGATGGTTGAAAAAGGCCATATCGGGCCAGATCTGGCTGAAAATGACCGGAACATTTTCGGCCAAATCTGGCTTGATATGGCCGTTTTTGGCCATCAATATGGCTAGAAATGGCCATATCAGAGCCTCTTAGTCACGGTGAGCCTTTCATGGGGAATTTCGGAGCTTTCAGCTGTGCTTTGCGGTGGCGGTAGGAGGTGGGGGTGATTTTGTAATAAATTAAAATTTTATATAAACAGGGTATTTTAACTAAATCTGAAATAATGGAGGTTAAAAGAAATTATTCAAAAATTAATAATAAAAATAATATTATATTAATATTTAAAAATGAGACAATCACCAATCTATTTCCCATAATCAAACATATTAATATAACATACCCACCAACTAATCAAACATATTTTCCAAAAAATTTTCAATAATCTTCCAAAATAATTTAACATTCCTAATAATCTAACATTTTTGAACCAAATCCCTCTTAATACACTCGCATTATCTTTTCAACTGCTAAAATTTATTTATACTTAAAAGACAGGAGACGGAGACCTAAAACAGCCAAGCAAGTAACCTTAAGAAAAATTATTGTTTAGAATTAGGAAAAAAAAAACTTCAGAAAAATCATTCAAACGTAAATAAATCAAATCAACTGGCTCAGCACGTACACCTTACAGAAGCATTAATCATTCTACTACCAAACAATTAGTGGCAGCCGTAAGTCCGGCCTTTTTGTCATCACAGCCAGCCAAAAACATTCGTTTTCGAAACACTCATAGTTAAGTTAAAAATGAACAAAAATTGAACTAACTAGAAGGATTTCAAGAGATGATTAGTGATTACCGGAGCCTTGGTCTTCCTTACGGCAACCAACCTCCAGAATAACGCCGATTAAGCTAACTTTTTTATTTATACAAAGAACGGCATCGTTTAGCTTCAGAAACCTATACTCGTCTCTATCGTCCATCACTTTCTGCGTCTATTAAAAATTAGGGTTTGGCGAGAGGTTTTCGGGGGGAACAATGAAGGAGACGTTTGGGCTTTTGAATTAAATAAAAGAGCATTCGAAATTTTGAATTAAAAATATAAACCGGCAGAATATCACAGTCCCTCAGGTTATCCAAAATTACAAGACGCCCCTTCAGGTTTTCGAAATATATTTTATTACTATTTTTTGTGATTCCAAAATAATTTTAATCTACAAAAATAGGATTTAGAAATTTAGTTATATGTAACAATAATAAACTTTGAATTATTCATAAACAAATATGTTGGTGTCAAAATCTCACATCGGTTATAAGACGGAGGCCTTAGTCGCTTATATAGCACAAAAACACACTCACTATCCAGAGATGCTTTTTCAAGACAAAACTGTGCCGGCCTTAAAACCCAAAGTGGATAATACCTTTACGAACTCACCTACCATATGTGTGGATCTAGCATATATCAACAAAATATATGGAGGAAAATAAGATCCTAAATACATTTGGGAACAAGTTTTTCGTTGGTTCGCCCAATACACTCGCAATATCCAATACACTCACGAGACTAAGTTGTACACTCACAAGACTAAGTTGTCCTTAAGGATATGTTTGACACACGACGTAGCATTAGGGGTGAGCGATTCCGGGTACCCTGCATTTTTCGGGGGAACCGGAACCGAAACCGCACAGTGCAGGTTCTTCAATTCAAGGAACCAGAACCTAAAATGCAGGTTCCGGTTCCTTTCCAGGGTATCCNGTCGTAATGCAGTTTTCCGGCCAGATTCCGGCGATGGTGGCCGGAATCTGGCATTGGGTGGTGGGGGTGTTTTTGTCATTTAACAAACTTTTTATATATGGGGGTGTTTAATTAAATTAGCAAACCTAAGGGGTTTTTTAGAAATTTTTAAATTTATAAAAAACAAAAATTGAAACTTTGAAGGGCATTTTAGTCTTTTCACTATTAATAAACAAAAATCACTAACAGAATATGACGGAAGGTACTTATTTGTCGTTTTAAAACCTTTTGGGTACCAACTTGTTATTATAGTAAATTTTGGGTATGTACAAGTCGTTCGCCCTTTCAAATGGCGTATAAATAAGGAGTTCCTATACCATACCGAACCTTGCACACGCTTGAATAAATGTATTCCAAGCTGAACCGGCCGGTCCGGTTACATTGTTCTCCATTCTAGTTGGTTCCCACTCTAAAAGCCTCCTTAAACCCCAGTAATAAAAAAAATCTCAGAACGACATTAAATTCTTTGAATTTGCAAATCTAGATATCTAAAGATCTTTCCCGTTCTTTCTTTAGCTTGAAAATGGCGGCGATCCGTAGAGCCTCCACTCTTACTTCGTTTTTGCTTTCCAGAACACTCGCTTCAACTACCACTTCTTCCTCGGTGGCCACCACCGTCCACCGTCGCTTTCTCTCAAGCGGCGGCATCAGTGCCAATTGCGGTTCGTACAGTCGCCGCTCCGCTGGAGCCGTCTCTCTCGGCTTCGCCGGAGCGCTCGCTGCGGGCGCATCGCTGTCGTTTCAAGAGGTCCATGCTAAGGAACCGCCGCCGGCTGATTTGGTTCCTGAGGATGTTGTTCTTTATCAGTATGAGGCTTGCCCTTTTTGCAACAAAGTTAAAGGTTTGTTTCCTTTTTTGCTTTGTAATTCGTTGCTTTTATTCTGTTATTTGATTATTTGCTACTTCAATCAACTTTTGAATCTTATCATTGCAAAAGAATTGAAAAGTTAGTTTGAATTTGTTTAGTTTGTTGCTGAAGAGTATAAGAAGAGCATTAACAAAGTTTTTGTTGTTACTGTTTTATAAGGTTGAAGTTTGGCAGGAAGTTACTGGTTCTGCACTCTGAAATATCTTTAGTATGACCGCAGTTTCAAATCCTCAGTGCGTCCATCTAATAAAATCCACTATCAATACATTTTTTTTTTTAATTTTAAAATTAATGAATTGGCGGTGGGTAGGTGGAGAGAAGAGAACATAAATGCATGGGTGATGGGATGTTATTGGATTGGTATGAGTGAAATATGTGCTATGCTGGGTCTACTGAAGATTTTTTCCTTGAATGATTAGTTTCTTTTATTTTCATGCATCTCCTCATTAAGAAAACTTTAGTTTTGTGAGTGTAAGATTGATTATGTGGTTTTACTAGTGAATTGTGTACTTATCAGGCATCATTGACTGTTTAATTCATGAAGATTTATTGAAAATTTAATAATAGCTGGTATGTCTTCTAGTTAAGTCTTTTAAATGTGCTCAAAAGCATTATAATGTGGCCCTTCACCTCCTCTCCTAAATATGCTGACAGATCTGAATGATATTAAATCACTGTTCCGATTTTATGCTTATATTTTAGTATGGGTAATACACTTGATGCTCTGTAGGTGCTGTATTATCGGATGTGATGATGTCTCAATCCAACAAATTATGGACAAGCAACCCTGACGACCCCCTTTTTATAGTTTATTAAGTTATTGCATACCAACTGTCACTCTTTTTCCTGTCCTTTCACTGGTGCACTTTGTATTGATAGCAATTTCATGCATTTTTCTAGAGTATGCGATGCCTAAAGTGCAAGCATGGGGTCCAAGAGGGTGCTGTGGACAGGTAGAATGAAGAAAGGAGATTGGAACTGCCCTCAGTAAGTGTTTGGTAGTTCTTTTTAATAACAAGCTTCTTCTACAAATATTTGCGCAAGCTTCTGTATTATTATTTTGGCATGGAGCTACATATTGTCCTTTGGCATGGGGCTTCTACAAATACCTTATTGTTAATTCTTTAAATTGTGCTCAAAAGCAGTTTAATGCTGGCCTTCATCCTCTCCTAAATAGTGCTGACAGATATTATAAATCACTGTTCCGATTTTATGCTTATACTTTAGTATGTGGTAATACATAATCATGCTTGTAGGTGAGTGTATTATATCGGATGTGATGATGTTCTCAATCCAACAAATTATGGACAAGCAACCCCTGACGACCCCTTTTTATATGTTATAATAAGTTATGCATACCAACTGTCACTCTTTTCCTGTCCTTTACGGTGCACTTTATTGCAGATGCAATTTCATGAATTTTTCGAAATACGCGATGCCTAAAGTGCAAAGCAGGGGGTCCAAAGAGGCTTGCTGTGGACGAGGTAGAAGAGGAAGGAGAGTGGAACTGCCCTCAGTAAGGTGTGGTAGTTCTTTTCAATAACAAGCTATCCTTCTACAAATATTTGCTCAAGCTTCTGTATTATCATTTTGGCATGGGAGCTACATTATTGTCAATTAATGTTCTCAATTGTAACCTGGCTGTGTCAAGGACCAAAAATATAATCTAGGCTTGACTTTCATTCTGATGTTTAGTCTATCTCTAGGATTGGTGACTTTGCATGAGCTTTTAGGTTTCCTTATTATTTGCATTATATGTCATCTGTAAATTTGATCTACTCTCAGCAATTGGCATCTATGTGCTTGCAGGTGCTTTTCATGAACTTTGCTCGCAATAAAAATGTTTGCGTTGCCGTGAGCAACGGCCTAAAGACTGCTATATAGGGAGAGTGGGATGTCCTCGTGGAGTCTCTCCAATTCTCATGTGGGGTTTCGTCTCAAGGTTTAGCAGTAGTGTTTACTAACACACAGTTGCATTTGTTTCAATAGGTGTGATTTCTTAAATTATAGCAAAGAATAGTCTGCCTAAAGTGTAAGTCTGGGCGCCCTAAAGAAGGCAACAGAGTATGAAGAGCAGGTATGGAGGAGACCTTACTAAAAGATGCATCGCGAACGCTGTTAATCACACATGTAGACGATTAGGTGGCTGGCAATGCATTACATAATTACGAACTCATGTTACAGGGACTTTAATATCGCCCATGGCTAGTATTCTACAAAAAAAAGTTGGTTGAGTCTTACTACCTGTTCCAAAAGCTTTGCTATGGCTATTACGAGGGCTTAACAATTAGATGATGTATAGAATAGAAGGGTATTCATTATTGTCATAACTCATCGTTTACATAAAATGGAGGAATGATCTATTTTTGTCTACAATCTTTAGGACTATATTTGTATGAAATTTTGTGGTTGTTGCTAGTAAGGATGAGAAGATGTTTCCTTTACCTTTCACATGTACTTAAATTCATGGCAATTCCAACTAGAAAAGGCTACATGGTGCAAGAAAATGAAAGCAAAAGGGGTTTGAGATTGATATTTTGTGGGATTTGAAAAATAGAGATTTGGTTTCTCTCTTTACATTGATACAATGTTGAAGTTTGATGACAATCGATCTAAATATGTGAAAAGCACAAACTTCAATCAAATTCGATTCACCCGGACTATTTTATTTCTTGATTTGGCTTAGGTTGGCTAAATTTTTTTTTGGGATAATGGATTTGGACCAGTTATAATTTATTGTATTTTAATTAATCTGTGAGGTTATTTAACACCATACAAGATGAATTGTCAAATAAGTGTAAATGATAAATAATCATTTAGTCAACTCTAATGGAGGATCTTTGGTAATTATTAAATGGTTTAATCTTACTATCTGACAACAACCTAAGTCAGTTCAAATTTTCTGAAACTAATTAAACTTTAATTAAATTTGTTTATTGTGTTTAATACAAATTATAAATAATTTAATACCTTTTAAATAATATTTAAATTTATATTTCAAATGGGGGAGAACGACTTATACATACCCAAGATTATCGTAACGGACAAGTTGGTACCCAAAAGGTTTTGAAATGACAAATAGGTACTTTCTGTCATGTTGTGTAGTGATTTCGTTTATTAATGTTTATTAAAAGTGAAAGACTAAATACCCTTAAAGTTTTAAATTTTAGTTTTTTATAAATTTAAAACATTTCAAAAAAAACCCTAAGTTTACAAATTTCACTAAATACCCATATATAAAAGTTTATAAATAACAAAAACACCCCCACCGGCAAGTGCCAGATTCGGCCACCAGCCGCGGAATCTGGCCGGAAAGTTGCGTTACGACACGGAACCGTCGGATCTGTGTCGTAAACGCGTCGATCTGGCCTTTTCGGCCAGATCGTGGCTGATCTGGCCGGAAAAGGACCAGATCTACGGCTAGATCTGGCCGGGAAAAGGCCAGAATTACGGCTAGACTGGCCGGAAAAGGCCACGATCTACGGCTAGATCTGGCCGTCGACGCCGCAAAACTCCATCTGCGGCTCGACGGCCAGATCTGGCAGTATCTGGCCTTTTCGGCCAGATCCGTGGCGGATTGGCCTGAAAAGGCCACATCGGCACTGAACGACACAGATCCGATGGGGATCTGTGTCGTATCAAGTTAAATATTGGATTTTTGTGCTTAGATGTTCTTGAGGATTTTTTTCTTCAAAAGGTTTTAGGCTTCCAAGTGCAAGCATGGAGATTGAATTTTGATGGCTGACACTTGATGCATAATTATGAAGGGTTAGAACATCTTGAGACTAGTTGTTAATGGACCAGTTGTTAATGGAGTAATCATATGGCTTCAGGGCTTTTGCTGCAGTCCTAACACTTTTGTATCTATCATACTTCATTGCTGTGTTAATTTTTTGAAGGTTTGAAAGTTAACATTAATTTACAATACTTTATGACTTGAAGGAACTATCGATCAACCTAATTCAGTGTCGTATGACTGGACTTTAACTCATTGGTCTATGAAACCAAAAAGTAAAAATAAATAGAATGAACCATTATTTGTTAAGACTCAAATGGAAACTTTTTGCATTAGGTGTTTTTTAGATTGAATCAAGTTCCCAGAATCTATGGTTTAAGGATAAACTAATTCAAAGCAAACAATTCAAAAAATTTGACTCTCTTTCACTTCTGTTTGCAGATGCAATTTCTATAACTTCGCTAGAAATTTAATATGTCTAAAGTGTAAGGAAGATGGTCCTAAAAGAATTCGTGGTGGTGACATTGAAATGAAGGATGGAGACTGGATCTGCTCTGAGTGAGTGTGCAATCATCTCTAGCTCCATATTTTTTTTTTAAATTGGAAACTGAAAATTTGTTCGAAAGAAGTAAAATGAGATGCAAAATTGGACCAGTTGTCCACAAATAAATAAATAAATAAATCCCTTGGGGGACAGAAACTATAAAATATTGAATGTTGCTCACTGCTCCATCTCACATTGGGTTTTAGGTCTCAGTAGTTTTTGTGTTCAAAAGATAATTTTATTCACCTTGCTGTCGTTGAATATATTTATTTATCTATCTATTTTTTTATGAGAAACAAAAATTATTCGTTCAATATATCCCTGCATTTCATGTGCCATTGAGTTGTAGGGGGTCATTTGGTTATGTTGGTGAAAACTTATCTGGTTAATTCTTTTAAATTGTGCTCAAAAGCATTCTAATGCTGGCCCTTCACCTCCTCTCCTAAATAATGCTGACATGATATTATAAATCACTGTTCCGATTTTATGCTTATACTTTAGTATGTGGTATACACTAATGCTCTGTAGGTGCATGCATTTATCTCGGATGTGATGATTTTCTCAATCCAACAAATTATGGACAAGCAACCCCTGACGACCTCCTTTTTAATATGTTATAATGAAGTATGCATACCACTTGTCACTCTTTTTCCTGTCCTTTGACTGGTGCACTTTGTATTGCAGATGCAATTTCATGAATTTTTCTAGAAATACCATGCCTAAAGTGCAGCGGGGTCCAAAGAGGCTTGCTGTGACGAGGTAGAAATAGAAAGGAGATTGGAACTGCCCTCAGTAATGTTTTGTAGTTCTTTTCAATAACAAGCTATCCTTCTACAAATATTGCTCAAGTTTCTGTATTATCATTTTGCATGGGAGCTACTTATTGTCAATTAATGTTCTCATTGTAACCTGGCTGTTGTCAAGGACCAAAATATATCTCGCGCTTGACTTCATTCTGATGTTTAGTCTATCTCTAGGATTGGTGACTTTGGCATGAGCTTTTAGGTTTCCTTATTATTTGCATTATAGTTTCATCTGTAAATTTGATCTACTCTTAGCAATTGGCATCTATGTGCTTGCAGGTGCTTTTTCATGAACTTGCTAGCAATAAAATTGTTTCGTTGCCGTGAGCAACGGCCTAAGAGACTGCTATATATGGAGAGTGGGAATGTCCCTCGTGAGTCTCTCCAATCTCTCACAGTTGAGTTTCGTCTCAAGGTTTAGCAGTAAGTTTTACTAACACCGTTGCATTCTGTTTCAATAGGTGTGATTACTTAAATTATAGCAGAATAAAGTCTGCCTAAAGTGTAAGTCTGGGCGCCCTAAAGAAGATGCAACAGAGTATGAAGAGCAGGTATGAGGAACCTCACTAAAAGATGCATCGGAACGCCTGTTAATCACACATGTAGACGATGAGGTGGCTGTCACTGCATGATATAATTACCGAACTCATGTTATATGGGACTTTAATATTCGCCCATGGCTAGTATTCTACAAAAAGATTGGTATGGTTGAGTCTTCCTACTACCTGTTCCAAAAGCTTTGCTATAGCTATTACGAGGGCTACCGTTACCCAATATTGTAGTAGATTCCCGATTCGGTGGCTGCTAACAATTAGTGATGTATAGAATAGAAATGGTATTCCATTATTGTCATAACATCATCGTTTACATAAAATGGAGGAATGATCTATTGTTTTTGTCTACAATCTTTAGGACTAATATTTGTATGAAATTTTGTGGTTTGTTGCTAGTAAGGATGAGAAATGTGTTCTCCTTTACCTTTCACATGTACTTAAATTCATGGCAATTCCAACTAGGAAAGGCTACATGTTGTCAAGAAAATAGAAAGCAAAAGGGGTTTGAGATTGATATTTTGTGGGATTTGAAAAATAGAGATTTGGTTTCTCTCTTTACATTGATACAATGTTGAACGTTTGATGACAATCAGATCCATATAATATGTGAAAATGCACAAACTTCAATAAAATTCGATTTTCACCCGAAACTGTTTTATTTCTTGATTTGACCTCGGTCTACTCAATTTTTTTTTTATTTTTTTTTATAACTGTGGTGTTCAGGCCAACATCACTACACAAGAGAGTAATCAGTCCCGGGGTTGGGCCCAATGGTCTAGTCCCAATTTGGGACTAGTGACTAGTCCCATTATGACCAAGCCCAATTGGTCCCGGGACCAGTCTTAGGCTCATAAAATTTTTTAGGGCTCGTATCGATCCCTAGGATCGATCATGGGCCTATAGGACCTAGAAAATCTTGATATACCCTCCTTATAAATAAAATTTTAGTTTAACCTCTATATTTATTATATATTTTGTATAGAACAGAGGGGTTTTAGATATTTACTAAGGGCTTAAACAAAATTAAGCAGGGGGGTTTGGGACCAGGCTTATGACCGGTCCTAGGCCATGGCCTTGGAGGAGGGGCTGAACTTGGGTCCAGCCCTCCTCCATGGGTTTGGTCCAGTTTTGGGACTAGACTTTATAGGACGGGTCCCAGACCTGGTTTTTTAGATAAGTTTTTTGGGTTCGAGCCTGAATTCCCATCTCTAATACAAGACGAATGAGCCAATTAGGTAAGTCTCAAATATGACGAATAATCATTTTGTTGGACTCTAATAGAAAACCTTTGGATAATTTATCAAAATGGTTAAAATCTTACTGTCAGACGACAACCTAAGTGATTTGACCTAAGTTGGTTCAAATTTTCTAACCCAATTATAAACTTTAATTATATTAATTTATTTTAGTTTGATACAAATTATAAGTAGTTTTATACTCTCTAAATGATATTTTCAATTTTCAAAGGATGTGACATCTTATACAACTTAAAATCCATATAAATAAGGAGTTTCGATACCAAACCGAACCTTGCACACGCTTGAATAGTTGAATTCCAAGCTGAACCAACCGGTTTCGATAACATTGTTCTTTTTCTAGTTAGTTCCCATTCGAGTAGTGTTACAGTTATCAAAAGATGTGTACCGAATTCGTACACCAAATGACATAATAAAATCCTGACCGTTGATTCATTATATATTAATATTAATCAATAGTCAGGATTTTATCACATCATTTAGTACATGAATTCAGTGTGTAATTTTCAGTAACTCTACCATTTTCCCATTCTAAAAGCCTCCTTAAACCCCCATTACTAAAAAAATCCTCAAAAGGACGTTAAATTCTTTGAATTTTCAAATCTAGATATCTAAAGATCTTTCCCGTTCTTTCTTTAGCTTGAAAATGACGGCGATCCGTAGAGCTTCCACTCTTACTTAGTTTTTGCTTTCCAGAGCCCTCGCTTCAACTACCACTTCTTCCTAGGTGGCCACCACCGTCCACCGTCGCTTTCTCTCAAGCGGCGGCATCAGTGGTAATTGCGGTTCGTACGGCCGCCACTACGCTGGAGCCGTCTCTCTCGGCTTCGCCGGAGCGCTCGCTGCAGTCGCGTCGCTGTCGTTTCAAGAGGTCTATGCTAAGGAACCGCCGCCGGCTGATTTGGTTCCTAAGGATGTTGTTCTTTATCAGTTTGTTTCGTTTTTTGCTTTGTAATTCGTTGCTTTTATTCTGTTATTTGATTATTTGCTACTTGAATCAACTTTTGAATCTTATCATTGCAAAAGAATTGAAAAGTCTGTTTATGTTTGTTTAGTTTGTTGCTGAAGAGCATAAGAAAAGCATTAACAAAGTTTTTGTTGTTACTGTCTTATAAGGTTGAAGTTCGGCAGGAAGTTACTGGTTCTGCACTCTGAAATATCTTTAGTATGACCGCAGTTTCAAATCCTCAGTGCGTCCATCTAATAAAATCCACTATCAATACATTTTTTTTTTTAATTTTAAAATTAATGAATTGGCGGTGGGTAGGTGGAGAGAAGAGAACATAAATGCATGGGTGATGGGATGTTATTGGATTGGTATGAGTGAAATATGTGGTATGCTGGGTCTAAATGATTAGTTTCTTTTATTTTCATGCATTTCCTCATTAAGAAAACTTTAGTTTTGTGAGTGTAAGATTGATTATGTGGTTTTAGATTGATTATGTGGTTTTACTAGTGAATTGTGTACTTATCAGGCATCATTGACTGTTTAATTCATGAAGATTTATTGAAAATTTAATAATAGCTGGTATGTCTTCTATTTGATTTGTTTAATTTCTTGCGATATAAGGTTCTTGTGATAAAAGTTCTTATCTAGCTGTTACTTCTTTTATTCTTGTTTTGCTCTTCGCTATAGTTGTTTACAATGCATCACATTTTTTTTTTTTTTTTGGGTATCTCAGCTTTCCTGGACTATTATGATATACCATATAAAGTTGTGGAAGTCAATCCACTTAGTAAGAAAGAGATCAAGTGGTCCGATTATAAAAAGGTACCCATACTGATGGTGGATGGAGAACAGCTGGTTGACTCATCAGGGTTCTTCTTATTTTTTTATTAAAAATGGATTGTGTTAATTATTGGTTTGAAATTTTGAATTAAATTGTATGAATCTCTGAAGCATTGTCTAAGCTACATTCCTTCTGATTTCATTAATGTTGCATGTGGTGTGTGCAGCTATAATTGATAAGTTGGGCCACAAGATAATTCCTGAGAAAATGGCCGTATCAGCTTCTGAAGATGATGAAGAGACAAATTGGCGTCGGTATGGCATATATTCCATAACATATGTCTACTTTTTTCAGCATCTGTTGCTTACATTTTCCTTGTACTGGGCTTGCATTCAAGAAACTTAAGTGCATAGGGTATTGGTGCGTGATATAATGAGAAGGCTTAGAGATTGAATGATATTTGAATTGGGGGAGCTTGAAATACTATACAATGGCAGAATTTGTAGAGGTGGATTGCTGATTTTTGAGGTACATTTGATTGAATAACTGATGGTTAGTAAGTAGGATTATATTAGACAAGAGTCACAGAGAGGCTTTGAAAAGGGATCAGTTTAAGGTTTGGTTCGTAAAGGTTGATGCCTTGTTGATGTTCTATGATAGGTTTCAGATAATATTGGACCTCCTGGGAAAACAAATTTTCAAGTGAACTCATATTTATCCAAATGACATATTTAAATGGAAAAAAAAATGCTATCTAAGTCTAAAAATTGGTTACAATGTGACTTTTACATGTTCAGCTTATAAAACAATTTAGGTTACAATAATACTATGCTTACTCACGATCTTATTAACTATCTTACTATCTTATGGCATAGTACGAGTACCATACGAATAGTACCTGTACTATGCGTTATATTTATACAGGATAGTAAGATGGTTAGTAAGATCGTGAGTAAACATAACATTACTCTTTAGGTTATAATACAATTGTGCTGATGCATTTAAGCATAACAAGCGTTATATTGTCAATTTGGTTTGTAATTATTTGAGCTTAGACTTTTGGAGGTTTGTAAAGAAAATGTAATTCAATTTATAACATTATTATGATGTTACATATTTGAGATTTCTATCTACTTCGTAATATATTAATTTATGCCTTCATGGTGTTAGATGGGTTGATAATCACTTGGTGCATGTCTTATCCCCAAATATATACCGTAATACTTCTAAGGTGCTTGAGTCCTTTGACTATATAACAAGCAATGGTAAGATTATTTCTGAGAATGTATTTCCATGTATTTGTAGACATTGTACGGTTAAATTTTCCTTTGAACCTCTGTAATTTCTTCAAGGTTTTTTTTTTTTTTTTGGGGGGGGGGGGGGGGGGGATAATTTTTATTGGATTATGGTGTACTTATTTGGGTCTTGAACTTCTTTGATGTAGTTGGTTTTTTAATCATATTTTGTAATTGCAGGTAATTTTGGCTTCACAGAAAAAATACAGTGAAATACGATACTACATCGCGATGTACATATGTCCTTATCAACAAATATCTATTTTTTTTTGCACAAATAATAATTGTTTTCAAGAAGAAAACAGATCTTACACATCAATTGTTATGATATTTGTATTTAAATCTTTTTTTTCCCCGTAACACAATGAAATCATCAAAACTCAACAAACTCAAGAGAAGCCAGCATCAACCAAGCAAGAATACTAACCCAATACACTTAGGGGCGTTTGGTTGACGGTAATGTAAGATATTGGGATAATGTCATCTATATTATTGATTACCACGTTTGGTTGTCAAATATATAAGATTCCGGTAATCTTCAAATATCAATAGTAGTACTATTATAATATTGAAGGTAATCTGATTATCTCCGTTTTCTTAGGTATACTAGATATCAGGGTTATCTTTTTTTGTTATAATTTTATTTTATTAATAAAAATTTTAGACAATAATGCCCTCATTTTAAAATAAATTTACATAATACCTATTTTAATTTTACCCTTATTTAACTAAAATTTTGGACAATAATATCCTTATATTTAAAACAATTTACAGACCACCACTGCCACTAGCCACCACCACCACGTCACCCAACGACCACCGTCGACAGTGGCCAACCACTACGGATCGTCGTCGATAAGTCATCAGAGTCCTAAAAAAGAATGAGATTCGGTGGGAGGCTCCAGGAGGCTTCGATATGGCCGTTTCTAGCCATATTGATGGTTGAAAAGGCCATATCGGGCCAGATCTGGCTGAAAATGACCGGAACATTTTCGGCCAAATCTGGCTTGATATGGCCGTTTTTGGCCAATATGGCTAGAAATGGCCATATCAGGCCTCTTAGTCACGGTGAGCCTTTCATGGGGAATTTCGGAGCTTTCAGCTGTGCTTTGCGGTGGCGGTAGGAGGTGGGGGTGATTTTGTAATAAATTAAATTTTATATAAACAGGGTATTTTAACTAATCTGAAATAATGGAGGTTAAAGAATTATTCAAAAATTAATATAAAAATAATATTATATAATATTTAAAAATGGACAATCACCAATCTATTTCCCATAATCAAACATATTAAATAACATACCCACCAACTAATCAACATATTTTCCAAAAAATTTTCAATAATCTTCCAAAATAATTTAACATTCCTAATATCTAACATTTTTGAACCAAATCCCTCTTAATACACTCGCATTATCTTTTCAACTGCTAAAATTATTTATACTTAAAAGACAGGAGACGGAGACCTAAAACAGCCAGCAAGTACACTTAAGAAAAATTATTGTTTAGAATTAGGAAAAAAAAAACTTCAGAAAAATCATTCAAACGTAAAAAATCAAATCAACTGGCTCAGCACGTACACCTTACAGAAGCATTAATCATTCTACTACAAACAATTAGTGGCAGCCGTAAGTCCGGTTTTTGTCATCACAGCCAGCCAAAAACATTCGTTTTCGAACACTCATAGTTAAGTTAAAAATGAACAAAAATTGAACTAACTAGAAGGATTTCAAGAGATGATTAGTGATTCCGGAGCCTTGGTCTTCCTTACGGCAACCAACCTCCAGAATAACGCCGATTAAGCTAACTTTTATTTATACAAAGAACGGCATCGTTTAGCTTCAGAAACCTATACTCGTTCTATCGTCCATCACTTTCTGCGTCTATTAAATTAGGGTTGGCGAGAGGTTTTCGGGGGGAACAAATGAAGGAGACTGTTGGGCTTTTGAATTAAATAAAAGAGCATTCGAAATTTTGAATTAAAATATAAACCGGCAGAATATCACAGTCCCTCAGGTTATCCAAAATTACAAGACGCCCCTTCAGGTTTTCGAAATATATTTTATTACTATTTTTTGTGATTCCAAAATAATTTTAATCTACAAAAATAGGATTTAGAAATTTGTTATATGTAACAATAATAAACTTTGAATTATTCATAAACAAATATGTTGGTGTCAAAATCTCACATCGGTTATAAGACGGAGGCCTTAGTCGCTTATATAGCACAAAAACACACTCACTATCCAGAGATGCTTTTTCAAGACAAAACTGTGCCGGCCTTAAACCCAAAGTGGATAATACCTTACGACAACTCACCTACCATATGTGTGGATCTAGCATATATCAACAAAATATATGGAGGAAAATAAGATCCTAAATACATTTGGGAACAAGTTTTGTTGGTTCGCCCAATACACTGCATAATCCATACACTCACGAGACTAAGTTGTACACTCACAAGACTAAGTTGTCCTTAAGGATATGTTTGACACACGACGTAGCATTAGGGGTGAGCGATTCCGGGTACCTGCATTTTTCGGGGGAACCGGAACGAAACCGCACAGTGCAGGTTCTTCAATTCAAGGAACCAGAACCTAAAATGCAGGTTCCGGTTCTTTCCAGGGTATCCTGTAAAAAATCAATTACCCCCCTATTAGTTTAAAAAATAACAAAAAACCTTATAAGTTTATAAATACACCCCTAACAAATTTTCATTATTCATTCATTTGTGTCCAATGTAACTCATAACCTGTAATCTCTAAGCAACACTTGAATTGTTAATATTTAATTAAGTATTGTAATATGTTTATAATAGAAGTTTAATTAATTAATAATCATACCATGAATTTATAATATAATGTATGATAATTTGATTAAGTATTGTGTAAATGTAAATTACTAATGTTTATAATATAATGTCTAATCAATTAAGTAATCATTTATTATGTAATGTTATATTAATTATATGATCATACTTATAGTATAATGTAAGTTATAATGATAAAATATCATACTATAAATCTATAATAATATTATAATTAATTAAATTTTAAATTATTTAATTAATAATAATGTTTATAATGGAATGTTTAATGATTAAGTAATCATATTACAAATATATAAAGTAATGTTATAATTAATTAAATTTTTAATCGTTTAATTAAGTAAGTAATAATATAGTAAATCTACTGTTTATAATGTAATGTTATAAATTCGTAACTAATTAAGTAATTATGTAATCATTTAACTATTAATGCTATAATTAGTAAGTGATCATAATATATAAGAATATAATAATATTATAATTTAATTGAGTAATTATTTAACTATAATGTAATGCTTAATTATGTTTATAATGAAATGTTTATAAGGTAATATTATAATTAATTAAATTTCTTATCATTTAATTAAGTATTATGCTAAGTCTATGAAGTAAATTAGTAATTACTAATGTTTAAAACATAATTCATAACTCATAATCAATTAAGTAATCATTAATTAGTAATGTTATATTAATTATATGATCATACTATAATAGTATAATGTAATATTAAATGAATTAAGTAATCATATATAATCTATAATTAATATATAATAATTAAATTTCAAATCATTGATAATATACTAATGTTTATAATAGAATGTTATGATTAATTAATCATATTATAAATAATAAGGTAATGTTATAATTAATTAAATTTTTAATCGTTTAATTAAGTAATGTAATAATATAGTAAATTACTAATGTTTATAATGTAATGTTATAAATTCATAACTAATTAAGTAAATGTAATCATTTAACTATGTAATGCTATAATTAAGTAAGTGATCATAATATATAATGTAATATAATAATATTATAATTTAATTGAGTAATTATTTGACTATAATGTAATGTTTAATTAATGTTTATAATGAAATGTTTATAAGGTAATGTTATAATTAATTAAATTTCTTATTTAATTAAGTATTGTGCTAATGTTTATGTAGTAAATTAGTAATTACTAATGTTTAAAACTAATATCATAACTCATAATCAATTAAGTAATCATTTAATTATGAATGTATATTAATTATATGATCATACTATATAGTATAAGTAATTATACTATAAATCTATAATTATATTATAATTAATTAAATTTCAAATCATTTGATTAATATACTAATGTTTATAATGGAATGTTATAATTGATTAAGTAATCATATTATAAATATATAAAGTAATGTTATAATTAATTAAATTTTAATCGTTTAATTAAGTAATGCAATAATATATAAAATAGAAATTACTAATGTTTATAATGTAATGTTATAAATTCATAACTAATTATGTAATTATGTAATCGTTTAACTATATAATGCTATAATTAAGTAAGTGATCATAATATATAATGTAATATAATAATATTATAATTAATTGAGTAATTATTTAACTATAATGTAATGCTTAATTAATGTTTATAATGAAATGTTTATAAGGTAATGTTATGATTAATTAAATTCTATCATTCAATTAAGTATTGCTAATGTTATGTAGTAAATTAGTAATTACTATATTATAAATATAAGACATAATCAATTATAATTATTTAATTATGTAATGTTATAATTAATTATAGTCATAATAATGTAATGTTATAGTGAATAACTATTAAGTAATCATAATATAAATTTTAATGTAATTATAATTAATTAAATTTTTAATCATTTAATTAAGTTTGTACTAATGTTTGTAATAAAATGTTACAATGATTAAGTAATTATACTGGAAATCTATAACGTAATGCTATAATTAATTAAATTTCTAATTATAAGTCAATTAATTAACTATTTAATTATGTTATAACTTATAAGTCAATTAATTAGTAGTATCATTAATGTAATGTTATAATTAATTATACTATAAATCAATTAAGTAATGTTATAAATTATAATTAATTAAGTAATCATTTAACTATAATATAATGTTATAATTGATTAAGTATGATATTTAACTAGTAATTAAATTTATTAATGTTTATCAATTTATCATATATAATTAATTATTACTAATTTATTATAGATATACTTAGAATTTGATAATTGAAGAAATAACTAAATATATATTACTCAATCAGATATACTATTTTATTCAAAAAAATTATTTATAATACATTAAAAATGTAAAACACTTTTAATTGGATCATAATTCCAATTATTCACTTAATTGATCAAAACTTTAATATTAATGTATTATAATATATTAAAGCTTTTAATATGGTGTAATTTATATGTAATAAGTATAATTGTATTCGTATATTTATTTAATTAGGTATTCTAAAATTAACTTTTTCTATTTTAAATTTTTTTATGTAAAATAATAGAAACTCCCCCATTATTTACATTTAACAATATTTCATATAGTCCAGGTTCCAAATAGGTTCTAAATAGGTTCAAAAACAGGTTCCAAAATAGGTTTCAAACAGGTTCAAAATAGGTTTCAACAGGTTCCAAAGCAGGTTCCAAATAGGTTCCAAACAGGTTCCAAACAGGTTCCAAAACAGGTTCCAAACAGGTTCCAAACAGGTTCCAAACCGGGTACCCCCTACGGTTCCAAACTTCAAACCGGGTACCCCTACAGGTTCCAAACCGGGTACCCTTTTTACAGGTTCCGGTTCCGGTTCCGGTTCCGATTCGGTTCCTCCATATGCAAGAACCAGAACCGGAACCGCACAGTAGCGGTTCTAAAAAATGGAACCGGAACCTACCCGCACAGTGCAGGTTCTGGGTAGGTTCTGATTCCGGTTCTGGTTCTTATCCCGGTTCGGTTCTACCCATTACCCGTGCTCACCCCTACGTAGCATAGCATTAAAAACATTGAATAGCACTAATAAATGCAATCATGTGGTTGGTGACAAAATTGTATAGCATTAAATAATTACAAATCTAAAATAATGCAATATACTCCACTTTATAATGCTAAGTAAAACAATTGCATAGTTAATGTATGTTACTTAACATTAATTTAAAAAAATAAAAATGTGTCAATTAATTAATAATATATAAATTTAAATATACATTAATTGATTAAACTATGGTCGATGTTGGTCAATGGTGTTGACTCTTTTTGACTAATGTTGACCGACATTAACCACTAACCCGTTTCAACTTTTAACTTTTTTTAGTTAAATAATAATTGAAAAACATATTAGTTTTTAATAAATACATTTTTATTAGAAAAAATATATACAATGTAATTCATACACCAAATATAGGCTAGTATAAAAATAATAAATGCAATGTTCTATTAAACATCATACAACATTTAGCATGACATTGTATATACAATATAATTTAATGTTATGCTATTCGATTTACCTAAAATTATGCTATGTTGCATACAAAACATACCTTAAGATTATATGGTTCGTCTAAGTCTACGACACAATAATAGAATAATCCATTTATTAACATGGTCTTGATATACTTTAAATAATAGTTGTTCTTATTATTTTAATTTTTTTTTTCTATATCAATTTAATCTAATAATGAATTACTAATCTCTAAATCAAATTTTTTGTCCTTTAAAACTAAGATCACGACAAGTTCAAAGCAACTAAATACAAAAGAGTGTTGGTGACATACTTAAAAGTTAAAAGTAATCCATTAGA